AACTTGATTATATAAAGCATTTTCAAAGATTTTTTGAGTTGAAAATATTAGTAGTCTTTCATCACAGTGCAGAACAAGTCTCACTCTAAGCTGCTGATTAAAGTAATCAAAGCAGGAAGAAAATCACTGAGCTTTTGTCAAATTTAACATAATTCCACATGGTTCTTTCATTCATATAAATCCATGATGTTCAGGAATTAAGTGTGCATGTAAGAAATGACTCTTGTGTAAAGGAAAAGCCAGTGACCTGCTATCTATTTTTGGAAAGTATCCTGGGTTTTGTAACCTCTGTCTTGTCCGAGACTTAGAGCACTTGCCCCGTAATTATTATTTCAAAGCCATGTTAAGGTACTGAACTACACTGAAAGGTTTTAAATTATTACACAACAAACTTTGAGGGAAAAATAGATGTCAAAACACTTTAGCTTGTGTGGTGACACATTTCTGGGGGTATAAAAGAAATATAAAGCATTGCATTGTTTTTTCATGGAGGACAATGACCAAATTGACTTTTGTTTTATTTATTTTTTTGTCTGCACCTGCCTTAAGCAAAGCCAATGCTTTGTTTCTGTCTTGCTGGTCTCATCCCTCAGCTACAGTAACTGCTTAAAATGCACATAGAAAAAAACAGGAACCATCCATTGTGCTCTATGGCTGAGTTATGCAGCAGATGGGTCCGAGTCTCTTCAAAGAGAATGCTGCTATGTTCTTTCTTGCTGATTTGTTTCATTTTGTCTGTGCAAACTTAAAAGAAAAATAGGGAACTGGTTGGACTGCACCACCCACAGAGTATGTTCTCTCCCTGGATGGTTTCAAGCTGTGGGAGTGGGAGGTGAGAAGCAGTGGTCTGGGGGTCTATGTGTCAAATCTATGGAAAAAATGTCTTTCTCTTCCTAATCTTTTCTTTTTCTGTTCAGCTTGTGCCCCCTCCTGGGTACTTATAGCTGGTGATCTTTCATATCCCTCCTTAAGCTTCCTTCACACTGTTCAGAAATAGCTTTTTTGTTTCTGAGTTGTTGCGTTATTATTGTGTTTTATTTTTGAGTTTGCCCTTCTCCTGACTTTCTTTTCCTCATCCAGCTGTGACCGTATTTTATGGCCTGATACAGATATTTTCTCTCTGCTGTGCCTTATACAATCCTATCAAAACCATCTCATATTCCCAGCATTGACATTATGTGTTAGTGCAATATACAGTATTAAAGTTTAAAAGCAAAGGGAAATTGCTAAATAAAAAATTACTCACCTACAAGTGCTTTTATATTTGAGACATAACATTAACTCTTTTTTTTTCTATGACATGGAGAAAGAGCTTTCAAATTCCGACAGCTGCAATTCTGTGGGTGGAGCTAGCTGAAGGGGTTTTACTTTCTAGAGGTTGACACAAGATACTGTTAAATTATTAAGGAGCCACGAAACAGGCTGGAGCTGACTACAGATGAGGAATTTCTTGCAACAAATACAGTGCTTGCCACATTAATCACGATGCAAAAGGGGTTGAAAAATACTTCTAAATTTACTTAAATATATATGTATACATCTTTCATTGCAGAAGTAGAATCTGCCCCTGAAAAAATGTAAGAATACACTTCTGAACTTCAGAACATTTATTTATGGGGAGAGGAAAAAAAGATTATATATATATTAAGATATATTTATTATGGACAAAGTCCCTTCTGGAACAATTATCATAATTATTTTTTCAATGAAATTACATTTACTTTTATAGTGGAAATGAACAATACATGTAATCTCAATCCACTTTAGAGAGTCAATTCAATAAATTAATACAGACAGATTGGTTGAAAGGTTATCCATCTAAGAAAAACCCAACAGATTGCACTAAGTCATTGACTTGCAGAATTAATTCATTTTGGATGAGCACGGAGCAACAATGGACTGTCACTTGCATTTTGTTGTTGACTTTGCTCCAATCTAATGCAGACAGTCTGAAAGTGACTGTAAAAAGCCAGGATTTGGGCAGTTTGGTCATGAGAATATGTTCTGCATATTGCAGAAAGTACATAATATTACATTTACCTCAGACAGTTTTACAAGTTATACAAAACCCTTTTACAAGTTGGAGAAAACAGCGGGCTTGTTCAGATTGACAGCATCAGGCTATCACTAACTGCTTGGTCGGACTAGAGCTTCATGAGTCGTCAAGGGCGGGTTACAGAACCCGTGAATATGATTTCACACCACAATGTACTGTTTTTTGTACACATCAGCTACATTAAAGCCAATCATTATGGTAACAACGGTATCTTATTTCTTGGCAGGGTTTGCACTCTCGTGGTTGCTTGGTCTGGAATGATTATGTAGTTCACCAACATGATGAAAAGGTAATGACTAACTTTAGCCCTATTCTGATGGGAGTTTTACAAAACACCATATTCAATTTGTAATAACTGCTGTCTCTGTCTATTTGAGATAATCTGTTATGTTAATTTCCTGTGAATCGGACATGTCTGTAATTTGCATGGTATTAATTCTCTGAAATTACCTGCTATAATTTCCTGAACACCAACGTCTCCTGATAATTTTTCAAACATTGTAAAACCCTTTTGCCAAACATGTGAAAGTATCTTGTGAAAATTTTAAAAGTATCTCAGGTAAATGTAGCGTATTGCTAGCCTGAGTGCCATTCCGGACTTAGTCCCGCCCACAACGTTTGAGTTTGGGAAGTTCGGTCTGGCATTGCTCAATAGTAGCGCGAGTATGCTGGCACAAAATCTGGTGGG